GTAACAATAAAAATAAACATAGATTAAAATAAAAATGAGAATAATAGTTACTATCCTGGACTATCTTTATGAAATTAGATAAAAAATAAAAATAAAAGCAAGATAATAAAAGCAGATAGCCTGATTATACATCTCTTCTCAGTTTATTGTACATTTTAACGCCAATCTAAACTCCAAAATCACATCAAAATTGAAGAAAAATCACTTAATAAACGTTCGGCCTGAAAATTATATATTTTATTTACAGGAAAAGATCAAAGTTTGGAGCTCATGTCAGCTTGTTTAGCTCAGAGTGAGCCGTCGTCCTGTAAATACACGAGCTTCGGTCGAGCTAGCCGGCTAGCTGCTAACTGAAAGAGACGCCATTAGTTGTTGGAAAGAATCAGGTAGAAACAGGAACTGGTTCCGCCCGTGGACCCGTTTCTCCCCCCACCTGCTGACTGGTTCTGACTGCAGTTCGGGTTCTGTTCGGTCCAAGCCTTTATGGTTTCAGCTCCTTTTTAAAGKCGGAAGCCAGCGGACTGCAGTTCCGACGTCAGGGTTAGCATTAGCATCGTTAGCTCGGAAACGCCTGTTTTTCTTCTTCTTTTTTACAATCAAAACTCGGGATTTCCAGGACGTGAAGGTGCAAACATGGCGGCAGCGGGGGCGGCCGGAGGCGGGAAAAGCTTCTCGTTTAAGGTGGTCCTGCTCGGGGAAGGCTGCGTGGGAAAGACCTCCCTGGTTCTGCGGTACTGCGAGAACAAATTCAACGACAAACACATCACGACCCTGCAGGTAAGAACCAGAACCAGAACCAGTCCGACCTGAACTCTGACACGTAAACAAACCCACGTCACGAGGAGCGTCCCTTTTTACAGCAAACACAAGATGATTATAAAACTTTTTATCTTTTGACTGTTTGTTAGCAAAATATCTGATGAAGCAGTGGACAGATTTAAAGTGTCTGTGACGTCAGGTGTTTCTAATAAACATGAAGGTATTTTAAAGATAACATTAATAACATGCTGCAAAACAAATTTCACATCTGAGTTGAACAGTTGTTGAGATATTTACATGTGAAGAAACAGGAAGTGACGTCAGAGGGGAGTGTCAACATGTAAACAGTGTTAGAAAAACAACAGACTTCAGAGAAGAACCTGGTGTTTCTTTACATTATTTTGAGTTTCTATCAAAGAGAGATGAAGAAAAATTAAAGTTTAAATAATTTTGTTTTAATAAACAAAGACCAGAGTTTATTTTATTAAAGAGTTCCCCTTTGATGTCACTTCCTGTTTCACTTTGACTGAAACAAATTCAAAAGCAAATAGAAGAAAATGTGTAAAATCGTGTGTTTTATGCTCATTTTCTTCAGTATAAAGATGTTTTCTTGGACTCGTTGTATTTAGGCGTCACAAACACGTTAACACAACTTTCAGGAAGTAAACTCTGGATTTATGTCTGCAGATGGTTAAAGTTTGGATGTAGGTCACAACTAATAAACTAGTTAATGTATAATTTATATAACTCAGATAGTTTTACACAGTTAAAGTTGGTAGTAGCTGAGGATCATCCTCAGAACACTGAGCTCCAACAGATCCTGATCATGTAGGACTTTTATTTTGAAAGAGTCACAGATGTGTGTGTTGGACGTTTTATGTCTAATCTGTAAGTTTCATGTCAAACCGTGTCCTGGACGACTCTGCAGACTTTAGCTGAGCTGAAAACTAGCTGTAGCGCCCTGCAGCTACATCAGATCCTGACCCTCTGAGGACCAGATCCAGTTTGATCTCCTCAGACCCTAGAACTGAAAGAAGGACTTCCTGTTTCCCAGAAGTCATAGCGTCGGGGTGTCACTGGTCCTGGGTCTGATGGAAGGGGGTCTGGACCCCTCCAGGCTCTTGTCTCTCATGAACAGAGTCACAGGGTCCGGGTGGTTCTGGCCTCGGGGCTCAGAGCCTCACATGAGAGGCTGCAGATAAAGGATTCGCTGACTGAAACGGACCGGACCCAGATCAGGTCCTGGACCYGGATCAGAGGATCAGGAGCTGACACCTCAGATGATTCCTGTTTATGAGTTCACAGCACGCTCCGGGTCACGCTGTGTCATGAGACCAGGTCCTGTCAGAGGGACTGGACTGGACTGGACTGGACTGGACTGGACTGGACTGGACTGGACTGGACTGGACTGGGTTCTGTTGCTGCTTTGATTTCCTAATCCTGCTGCTGCTTCTGACCAAAACAGATTCAGGTTCTGTCAGACCCGGGTCTCTGTCTCACTTCCTCAGATCAGGGTTCTGGGTCTTTCAGTTTCACTGAGCAGAATAAAGCCCCACGTGGTCCCGGCCCGGCTCTACTCGGACTTTGACTTTCAGTTTTTATCAGCCGAGTGTTGGAGGAGCAGGTGTTCTGTGGCTCCACACCTGGACCCAAAG